AAAAAAAAAAAAAAAAAAAAAAAAAAACTAGTACCATTGTTGCGTAGTGTTAAAGATAAAAAAAAAAAAAAATGAGATCAAACGTTTGACGCGGTATCGAGGAGGATTCTCACGTTGGAAGGGAGGAGAGAGCAAACGAGAAAACGTTCGTTTCTTTCTTTCTACGCTCTCGTTTCTCATTACCAAATGACGGCGGCGATCATTAGTATGCGTCCAATTCCCTGTTTTCTTTCTTTTTTTTTTTTCTTTTTCTCTCCTTCGTCAAAGATGCGAAAAAGGACGAGTTCTCGATGACCTCTTCCCACTTTTTATGTATAATAATGCCGTTAAAATAAAATAAAAAAAATATATATATATATATATAAAAAAAAAAAAAAGAGAAACATCTTATACCTAATATACTACACGAAAAATGTACAAAAAGACTTGCTGTCATGTTGCGTATTTTCGTATTTTCAAGATTGTCGCGAAAATTCGTTTTATAGATTTAATACGGATACCAAATTTGGGTATCGGAGAAGAAGATGCGAAGAAAATGGATGATCCGGATTTATAGAATAATATACGCAAAATAATATTGGAATTTCGCACCGAATAGATCGAAAATTTGGGAAATTTTCAAAAGGTAACCCAGTCTGAGCCTACGCCAATAGTGGACAACATATCCGTGACGTCTGGTGTACAGGAAAACTCAAAGTGTGATCCGCTGCTCGAGCTAGCAGTCTCGAACGTATCCAGGTCCGTAGTTATCGTTTCCATATCTAGATCAATTTTGAAATCGGATGGTTGTATCTGCAACAGATCCGTCAACGAATAAAGATCGGCCAAACTCGGATTATTGGTCGATTCCTCGAGTTTGACGACCGTTGCGGCAATGGTCGTATCCCCGATTATATTATTAGGAGCATCGATGATCGTGTTCGAAGCGCTGTTGGTATCGTCATTCGTACCGGCCGAACCGACAACAGCGCTCGTTGAATGTTTCGTCCGCCCTCGTTGTTCCGTTCCCGCCGCGTCGCTCCTGTTCCTATCCGTATTCGTCACGGTCGTCGACAAATCCGTTTCCATTTCAATTTCCGTCCCCTCGCCGGAATTCAATTCCATCTTCATCTTTCCATCTATCGTCTCGATCGTTGTTCTTCCCGTGCTCGTGGTCGTGGTGGTCGTCCCGGTGCTCGTCGCCGCTCCCACGATGTTCGACGTTGCCGAATCTTCTTTCATCAGAAAGTTCGATCGACATTCCAGATGATGGTTGTGGTTGTTGTGGTTGTGGTTGTGGTGATGGTGGTGATGGTGGTTGTGGTCGTGGTGGTGGCGACGATCATCCTCGCCGCTATGATTTTGATGGTGGTGATGATGATGATGGTGATGATGGTGATGATTGTTGTGACGGGGCGTTCGTACGCGTAAACTTTTGTCCGAAAGTAGATCCATGTCTTCGACGGAAGCGGCGAAGGTAACGGGACCGACCGAGGATAGCAATCGATCCTTCGGCTCGAACGTGCTTTCGTAATCCATCTCGAAACTGGGCTCCCGCTTCATTTTGCCAACGGTAGTAGACGGTTGCGTAGCTCTGATCGCCGCGCGACGGTCCGTGTTGTCGTTGGCCATTAGCCTGCCGACGGTCGACCCGCCGCCGCACTCCAACAAATTGTCCTCGTAAAAACTCGCGGATTCCGGCGAATCCGGCGTAACGCAAGACGGGCTGCTCGGTATTTTCGCGGTGACGATCGGTGGACTAGGCGTGTAGTCGAGAGGAGGTCTCTTATCCAACGCCAATCTAACCTTCAAACGCGATACGGGTTTGTTACCGACCGAGTGAGTTTGCAACCTTTTCACCGCTATTCCGCCCACGGTACTCCCTGTGCCGCTCGTCTCGGAATTGTTGTTGTTGTTGTTGTTGTTATCGTGATTCCGTGTGTGATTCTTACTCGACATTGAACCACCTCCTCCTCCTCCTCCTGCTCCTCCCATCGATGACAAACCCGATTTCCTCAGCTTCTTACCTCCCCCCCCTTCTTTTGTTTTTTGCCCTATACACGTTGCCGATTTCGAAGTTTTTTTCCTCGGTCTATATTTGTAATCCGGATATTCCACCATGTGCAATTGCCTCAGCCGTTCCGCTTCTTCGATGAACGGTCTTCTTTCAGCTTCGTCCAACGTTTTCCAACGTCTTCCCAGCCGTTTACTAATCTCCGCGTTATGCATATCAGGCTGAATCTCGCATATTTTTCTACGTTCGATCTGTGACCAAACCATAAACGCGTTCATCGGCCTCTTTATGTGATTAGGATTGTTCTTTTTCGTCTGAAACAGAAAAGGAGAAACAAATTGAAAGAAAACTCCTCCTATATCCTCTATTATATTTATCGATTTACAATTTCTCTATCCACGAATAACGCGCGGGTATATTTTTTTTCACTCGTTCGAAGAATTTGCATCCCGAGCAATACACATCGCGTGTAAAGATGACGATCTTAAAATCAGTGTGGAAATAAGATTAAAAATACGTTTAAACTGTCGGATTAGATCCGTGTAGCTGACCTCGTCATGGATAATAACGTTGTCGATTAGTTAATTGGACAATTTACGATCACGTTGTATCTCTGTGGACAAACTAAAAGTAAACGTTATTATACGTGAACGCGTTCAAACTCGCGCATGCGCTCATAATCATTCGTGTAACAGCATCACGAGCGTCACCTATTTCGTTAAACGATAATCCGTGTATCGTCGAAAACTAGGAACACGTAGCGTGCAATCTCTGTTCATTGGAATTCTAGATATCATCGATTACTCAGTACGCATTAGAGTGGAAATCGAAAGGCTATAATCTAGGTTACGAAGGTGGAAGAGAACACAGCTGCTTAATACATAGCGATCATATGGTATACGAACGCATGCTTGCTTGCAACGGAAGAATCTATCGTACGTACGTTCTTCTGCTTTGTTTTCAAGCTACGTATAATCGAAGTAATTGACCCGCGAACAATTCTTCTAGCAGTGAAAAATTTATAAAAAATTGTTTATCTCGTCTACTTTTTAATTTAACGATCAATTATCTATCGTTTTGTTCCCGATATGTTATATACATAACTATGTATAACTATGTAATATGTATATATATATAATTCTGTAACATAAATTTAAAAATAAAAAATTAATTGGAAAAATAAAATTAAAAGGATCGAGAAAAAAAATGCGATATTGTAATTTATATTCGTATATAAATGAATCGAACGATGATCAAACATTCGAAACTTTGTATATATGTGTGTTTAAAATGTAATTTATATGTAGATATCACTACTAAAATATCCGATAACCATGAAATTTGTCGAGGAAAAAAAATCCGTGTAACTTTACTTACGATAATTTCGACAGATACGCATAATAAAACATATTCAATTCATGCAGCTGAATTGATTTAGTTGTTCGTTCGATGTCTCATCTGCGCATATACTACCATCGCTGTCGTTCACTGATATTTTTATATTGTCGAACAAAATTGATCTATTTCCGATAAATGCGATAATATGCGAGATTTTTTTTTACATTTTTTAAAAAAAAAAGCCTTTTCGTTTAATCGGTATTTTTCATTCGAATTATCGATTTGTTTCGCCCGTGCGAATGATCTTTGAAATGATTTTTCGATTTAAAGATAAAATTTCATCCCACGTTAAAATGTAATTTGAAGTGAAAATTTTATCGAAAAGAAACGGTAACGCAATAAGATTGTAGCCGATAGAAATGAGAATGAAAAAAATTTTATCAAAATCAGAAGTTATGGAGAAAGAGGGAGGGGGAAAGAGAGAGAGAGGAGAGAGAGAAGGAAAAAATCTTGGAGAAATTTGATAAAAATCGTCATGAAAAATGTAAACAAAATTCAAATTCAATGCAGAAAAGAATAATGAACGGTGGACAAAAATAATCTATCCTTCCGTTGGACGATGTTTTGTCGCTACAAAAATAAACAGGCACGTACCTCGTGTTTCTTCTCGTAAAAATGTTTAACTGG